ATATTGTTTATAAATAATTTAACTTAAAAATTCAATTTAATAATATGATCAGATTTTTATTAAAAATTATAATAAAAAAGTAAATTTGTAACTACATCTTGAGTTTATTGGTTTCATTACCATGGTCATATTAATAGTGAAGTGCCATGAGTAGCATCACCTGATAGAAAACAGGGCATTTAATTATATAAGCACGTGATGTAAAACAATTTAATCTATTGATTTTTTTTATCTTGGATAACAAATATTTATTTATTATCTTATAAAAAATAATAGGTTAGTAAATAGTAAACTGTAAAGTATAACCATAATAATCATCACCATATTTCAAGTTAATTCATTTTAAAATAGTGGGCTCCAATAGAATGTGGGAACTAACTTAATTAATAATCATTTTTAAATTAACTATGTACAAATTATAAATTAGTAAAAATATAAATATTGATTATTTTTAATATTAATATCAGAGTATAAAGTCTGTAACGGAAAAAAATAGTTTATTCCATGATTTTATAATATACCATATTTGTAATTATTTATTTTTTTATATCAATTGTAAAAATTATTTAACTTAATACAACTAAATCATATTTATACTATTTACCTAAGCTAGATTTAGAATTTATCAAGTCCCTTTAAGGTAATTATAATTATAATAATTGGAAAGTGTTATACTAATAATGTATAATAATGAAACTCCCAATTTAGATAAGAAATATTTTTATTATTATTTTATTAAAGAAATAGTATGTTAGTAAATAGTAAACTATAAAACATATCAAATTAATCATTAAAATATTTCAAGTGTGAAAACTGTTAATTAGTGGGCTATGTAAAATAAAACCCTATTTAATATTTAATATTTTTACGATTTGTAAATAATTAAAAAGTAAAAATATAAATATTGGCTATTATTATAAATACTATTATTATTATTTCTACACCGACATCAAAATCAACACCACCAAAAATTATGAGAATGGTAATTTAGTAATTGACAGGTGACTTTGTTAACCAAATAATTTAATCAAAAATTTATTTAATTCAAGCATATCATTTTAAATTATTAAGCAATATATACAATAATAATTTCTAAAAGCATTGTAATTATAAATCAATTATAATTATTAATAATTATTAAAATATCATTTCAAATACCATATCTATAATGAATATAAAATTTATATTATACAGTATTTTATATCCATGCATAATTATTACACTATTTAAAATAATATTGCAATTTGAATTACATTGTAATAATTACTACAATAATAACATAATTATTTAAAAATTTTGATCAGGGTATCGCATATGAGATAGGCTGATAGGCCTAAGAACATGCCCACCAGACCCCCAAAACCCGCTATGAACTCAACATTTGACATCTTGGGCGAGTGTTCAATATCTGTGTCGGGCATCGGGCTATGGATTATCGATATTTTCATATCCCTGTCCCACGTCTTATTCCTGGGATACAGTTCCTCGGCATCAAACGTATAGTAATAATGTAGGCATTCCTTCCCGCACTCGGAGTTGCAGTGATCATCGGCCAGTCGTGCGCATACAGGGGTAGGATGTGCCTCACATACCGTTGCCTCTGACCCTAAATACCCTACACTATACTCGGGTATTACGTTTGTCGACTTAAACGTACAATTTAAATTACCAGGGCAAGTCCCTATAATTTCTTTACTATTATTAGCTTGAAAATTTTTAATCCAACAGCACTGCCTATCAGGTTTTAGTAGGTAGCGCTGGTAGCATTTTTGTCGGCACTCGGACCTAGTCCTATACTCTCGTACATAGTCGTAGCTGTAGGCCCTACCTGTGCCATCGGTGTTATAGTCGGTACAGTTGGTCACATACTTACTGCCCAATAGCTGGGTCTTTGTGGTCGAGTAACTAATTTCGTAGTTATGAAGATTATCCAGGTATTTAAAGTTTTCATCGTATAGGTCGTAGGGCATGGAGTTTGGCGAGTGAATGGACAGGTAGATTTTGTCCAACCTTGAGCCACGATCATACAGGGCCGATGGGTACCAGGTCCAATTATGATGCATCCTGATCACAATGGTCTGAGTGTTGTAGACACGTGTACGCCATTTTGAATTTAAGTGACTGAAAAATGTGGCACACTTGCGTATATTTCCTGATTCTACCGGTACTATAGATATTATTGGCTCCCTGTCCATTAGCCTTTCCACTTTGCCATCAATCACACCAGCTACACTTGCGTTGATAGTACGATGGTCATTTGCAAAGCTAGTGTCATTATCACCATTGTTGACTAACGGAAACGGTACGGTGATATTATTGCCGTATAAATCCCGCAAATATATATCCCGTTTCCCATAAAATTCCGCAAATTTTGCGTAATACCCGATTAATTTTTCTTGGGTACCCTTTATACCATGGTAATATTCGTAAGGATATTCTTTGACTAGTTCAGAGTACTCCCGATAAATACCACGTAATTCGGGATACCTTTCCGCCATAGCGTCCAGTCGTAGAGAATATGGTAAACATATTGTAACGGCTGGGACGGCGTCGGGACGTATGCGTCCCATACGTATACTGACCACTGTATTGCCGACCCAATACTGGTAATATAGCTTATAGGAGAAGTAACCAAGGGCAAGTGCACATAGTATTGCTACCAGGGTCCTTAAGATTAGCATACGTATTGAGTCGCCCGGCCTACACATCCAAAAACGCCTGGGCGGGTGGGATGGGTGTGGTGGTTGGCATCCGAAGCTATTAATAGTGTATTTCTGGCCCCGATTGCGATTATTAGACATTTTGGGAGTAATTGTAATATAAACAAAAATCCGATTATTTATTAGACACACTGTATAATTGAAAATAATGATCAAACTGTACAACTTTAATTAATATTACTTAAATTTATTGAATTTTATTGTAAATGTTTAACATGGATAGTCAGATTAGAGTGCACATTAATAATTTTTGTCGCAAATTTTTATATTAAGCTTACTGAGTAACTTGTTTATTTAAACATTATGTGATAAGGTGCTATTTAGTTAAAATTGTGTACTAATTACACGTTAAATGACGTAAATATATGTGTAAAAAGTATAATTATAAAAGTATTTTTACCGGAAGCTTATCAGTTGACCATAAACTTCGTGGAAAATATAGCATCTTGATTAAATAAATGTCAGTGTGAATAATAATTTTAATTGTTATTTAATTACTTAACCAGATATTATTTATATTTTATGGATTAGTCACTAGATTTTTTATATTTGTTTGATAAATGCTTTTTCAATGAATAATTCACTAATCTGTTAAAAATTAACAGTACATCTAAAGTTTGAAATCCAAATGTTTATCTACTTTTTTTATAAAAATCTAAAAACAGGATAAATGATATACATTTTAAATGAAGTTAGCATGTTATATATATTTTCAAATAAGATTCATTTTCAATTCATATCCACAATTAATTCATACACATTATTTAGTCTAGAAATATAAAAGAGATAAAAAAATTATAGATTATTCATTGAAAAAGCATTTATCAAACATTTTGTGAATAATGTTTAAAATGTTATAAAATGAATAAATCTTTACTTTTCGCTCAATTTATTGATACGTTTATTCAATTATTTTTGATGCAATCCGTAAGCTTTCGGGCCATTGATTATCAGCTATTACTGGCCAACCTTTTGGATTTAGCTGCTGGGATTTTATATTATGTTTCTAATAGGTATAAACTATCACCATGCACATTTTGGTTAAAATCTGGGAGTTGCATCTCAAATACAGTGCTGTTAAGCAAGGATAATAAGAAGTGTTAAGAAATATAATTAAAATAAATGACTTATATAATAAGATTAATAAGGCTTACATGAGTAAGTTTAAAATAATGTGTTAAATATAAAATATTGCCTTTAGGACCAATTAAATTTATTTATAATTTAATTAGTAATAATAGTTTCGCATAAATTTATGTTACAGTTTTTATTTCTACATGACCTTATGTATTATTTTAAGCCTCTCTCTCTCTCTCTCTCGTCCCTCAAATAAACCGCAATACACCAATAAAATTGCATCATGTCCATTCACCCTGGGCATTGTGAATAAAAATATTTGTTTAAACTTTAAATTAAACTCAATACTAGCTCAAATACTTAACAATTAATTTTAATAATAAACTTTTACAACATTTTCAAAGTTCTTTGCAAACTATGCCCTACTGTGTATAAATTAACAACCATGATAATACACACATTTTATAATTTACCACAATTAATCAAATTAACTACTGTAAATTACAAACAAAAATATTCAAGAATATTCTGTAACAATATGAATAAATAGCAACTTAAACAAAACTAGTGGCACCTGTATGCCTGCAAACCTAACTCTGGGTACAGGGGTGGCACTGGTAGTCGATAATACCACCAGTGGCTGTCAAACGCAAAACCCAAACATAACAAACACAGTAAGGGAAAGGGCGGGAAAGGTATCTATTTAGTAAATATACCCTAAAAACCGTACGTAAAATAAATTATAATATTAAAATCAATGCGTTCAATACATAGCACCTATACTAATAATTATAAAAATATTTAGCTAGCTACCTAAAATAAATTAAAATAGTTTCGCACGAATTATCATGGTCCCCCACACCCCCTACTAACAACAAAGCACATACATCAAGTTAGGGGGCACCTGTATTCGAGGGCCCAGTCTATTAATAATGCACTACAAGTGAACTTCTCCTACCCTCGTATATTATGTCACTGTATGTATGAACAGCGAGAGAGAGAGGGAGAGGGTATGAGAGAGAGTATGTGGAAGAGTATATGTGACGGAGAGAGTGTGAGAGAGAGAGAGAGCCTATGGAAGAGTGTATATCAAGTGTGTGAGAGAGTGTGAGTGAGAGAGAGAGAGTGAGAGAGTGTATTGTGTTGGTCATGCGCAGTTCGTGGTAACGCGCTATTCAAACAGCACAACATCACACTCACTACCAGTGCTCATGTGATGCCCATAGCGTACGCACACAACACACACGCAATACATCGCATAGCATAACAAACACAGTGACAGTGTGTATGTCCTATGATTACATACCCACCCATACTATACCATTCGCAAGGCTACCAGTGCTAGCAGTGCTACCCTACCAGTGCTATAGTGTATGTGTTTTTGTCTCATAATAACAAACATGTCTGCCGTTGAGCGCAAACAACAAAATGCCCGCCACTACTGATACGTGCGACACGCGGGCCACTCATTGCGACACTACCTGTGCCATAGGGCAGGGGGGACAGGTGCCCGTGAGCCAGGCCAACAACAAGGCTCAGCTGAGCGCCCAGCAGCAACAGCACCAGGCTCAGTTGACCACGCAAACGGAGAAGCCATTGCACTACCAGTACGTATAATAACGCGCGTAACCTAACCTACCCGTGAACTAGTGGTCACTAATGGATATCTCCCTTTCCCCCACTCACCCCCTGAATGGACAGGTATTTAAAGGAGTTCCGGTGCGAGCAGTGCCCGCTGTTCCTGCAGCACAAGTGCACTCAACACAAGCCGTTCACGTGTTTCTATTGGCACTTCTGTAACCAACGGCGCCGTCGACCCATCCGTAAAAGGGACGGTACGTTCAACTACTCCCCCGACGTCTACTGCACCAAATACGACGAGACCACCGGTGTCTGTCCCGAGGGCGACGAGTGAGTACCTGTTCATGTCATGTTTGCATGTGCCCTTGCTTGTTGCAGTTTGTTTGTGTCAACAACAACCATGTGAACGATCTCGCTCACTTACACACTCACACATACATACACTCATACATACAAAAAGTGGTCAATTTAATGATTGTCACGTTAATTGATACCTTAATTAGCGTCCATTAGCTATGTATAGCCCATTCAATGTAATCGCCATCACTATTGAACAGTTGATTACAAAGTTAGTGACAAAACAAATATTTATTACTTTTTTTCTCGTAATTACGAAAGTATTTGATAGTTTTTTTGCTAAATAATGTGTGTTATTATGTTTATGATTGCTAGTCATATGATGTCACTAAATTGATCTAGAACGTGTGTTTCTCATTGTGTGTATAATGAATTTATAAGCTAGGTGTTTACACATATAATGAATTAACATATTTGTTACTTTTTATAACTACGAATCTCGTGATTGATTTGAATATTTAACAAATTTTGATACACTGTTATGAATGCGACAAAAAAAACTAGTCTATGATTACGTTAAGTGTCCGCAAATTGCGGCAAAAGTATCCTAAGTTTGCGACCAAAAAACAACATAAAATAAATTACATTTAATTTTCATCCTTAGATGTCAAGGGAGCGTAGATATGCTGAGTGAGAGATATGATTATTATATAACATGTATATATTTTTAGATATGAAATATTAGTTTTATTTCACATGTTTTATGTGTTTTTCGATGACAAACATACAGTACATGCTATACATAAGTGTTATTTAACTTTTATTATGTCACATAATCTCTCTCTCTCTCGCTCTCTCTCGCTCTCTCTCTCTCTCTCTCTGACTCTGAATTATTGAAAACAAATTCTTATATTCAAAACCATTTACTATAGACTTTAATAACACAAAGAATTTCTGTATTGAATATTCTGTTATATTTAATGATTATTATGAATGAAATTAGTTTTCTCTATGAAATGCTTGGGGGACTGTCTGCCCATAGGAGGGGCAGTATATACCAGGGGCTGTCAGTCGGGAGTACTTTCCAAGTATCAAAATATTGACAAAAAAATGCTAAAACTATAACAAAAGTAACAAAAATAACATTTGAAGGCCTTTCCAAAACACAGCGACCTCTGTGTTTCTGTGTCCTAATCATACAGTCTGTTACGTATTAGGGGAGTGGGAGGGCACTGTGTTTAATGAATTTGAGGGTTTTCACATTACTATGCTACAGAATATATACATTTTTGAATTGATCTAGATTATTGACCAGTAATTCTGTGCGTCTATTATATGTACTATTCATGAGATTAGCGTATAAGAGTGGACAACAAATATATTTAATATATATTATGCATGTTATATAATACGAGAGAGACTGTAAGGCCAGACACTACTAGTCTGTCAGTGCTTTTTTTCTAGCGCCTAAACTACCGGCGCGTTCAGTGAACTCCTTTTATGTCCTGTTTTTTGTGCTCACTTTTTATGAGGCATTATATAAGACGTGAAAAGTAAAAGCAAATGCGAAACGAGTGAAACACTTGTGATACACAACACAGAGAATGAGTAAAAAAACAAAAACAAAAAAGTTTTTGAAAAGCATTTGTGTCTTAAAATGAATTTTTTTCGCGTGTCGAGACATGTTACGTATGTTTATTGTGAATACCCTGGTTATTATTAGCATGAATATAATTTTAGTTATGAGTAAAAATATCTATGGTAGGTATTTGTTATATAATTAGCAATTTGCTGATATTTTAGCGACAGTTGACTGTAGTTTTACGGTTTATGACAGTATTTTTAGTTACAAAAATATATATCCAGGGACCAAATTGTTATGTAGCTTGTGATACAATTTAGTTGTTTTTTGAGCCATGAACTTGCAGTGAATACACTATTAGTACAGTTATATTAAGTTTTAATAATTTTATAATTAATTAAAGTATTTTAGTATTTTTAAAGACTGTATAAGAAATTATTTATTTAGTGTAATTTAACAGGGTGAAATTTAAATTTTATTAGAGGTTTCTAATTGACTCGATTATATTGTATTTAAATTATATCTTTGCATTTACTTTGAAATGCTTTTAATAGTAACAAAAATACGTATAATTTATTATTTGTTTATTTTTCTAAAACTCTTTTAAATATAACCCGATTTTTATAACTAGCAATAAAAATGTGAAATATTTTTTGCGTAACAAAAATCACTTTTTATGGTCACATGTCTCGGAGAGAGAGAGAGAGACTTTCACTTTTAAAACTTAAAAACATTTTACGAAAAAGTATTTTTCATTTAAAAATTATTTTGTTAATCGTTTTAAGCGATATTTTTTGCACTTTTTAATACTTAGCGATAATAATAATAAATAGTTTTTGTTTGGAAAACTTTTTTAAGTTAAAAAATTTCTGCCGTTTTTATAGTCGACTAAACATTTTCGACAAAAAATAAGTTTTTCGACTCAAAAAATAATACTTAAAAACCTATTTAAATAAACTAATAAAGCATTTTTGCCATCAATTAACTCATTAAAGATAACTTATATAACTTTTTAAAAAATTATAATTTAAAACATGTTATTATTTAATTAACAAATAATAATAAAAAGTTTTTAATATCACTTTTATTACATAACTTTCAAAATGCCATATATTTTTTGTTAGTATATATTGAGAGGTTATGATTATAATTATTATAATTATTTTTACGACTAATTTTCTAATTAGTATTTTTGACACAAAATATTATTTAGTGTTTTATTTTCGCCAATATTTTCAGTCGATTGTAAAACATTTGATTTACATTTTGAAAACATTTTGTGTAACAAAAATTATACAAGTAACATGTAGTTTCCCTTATGTACACTATTTGTTAGCGTTTATTTGTGTAACAGGTGTACACTATTGGCTACAAAATATTATAATACATTGACAGTGATATAGAGGTTATGAGTGTTTATGAAAATTGCATGATAATTATGTATTTTTCATAATTAAGTGCTTTTTAAAAGTTTTACTTTTGAGAAAAGTTTGTTGTTTTTGAAAAAATTATTAGTATTTATGTCAGAGAGAGAGAGAGAGAGAAACTCATTAATTAAATAATAATTAAGTTTTTGTCGAAAAAATTTAAATTTTACTTAAATTTTGTTTTTATTTATTTGTTTTGAGACGCGTTACGAGATTTTACACAAAAATATGTATAATTTATACGAAAAATAGTCTTTCCTTTAAAAACATGACTTTTCTTTGACTTTGTTTATGAATTTATAAATAATTTTTTGTGACACTCATTAGAAAGACATCTATTTTTAATGTCAAAACCCCTTATGTTTTTAAATGATGTTTATTGGCAATGGGGTGTAGTGACTGTAAGCGCCGGTAGTTTTTAATTAGTGATTTGCATATCTCATGATTATTTTTCCATGGGCTTTATCACTCAGACATAAATGTATTTTTAGTTTTAGTTTTCAATTATTTGATAGAAATCTATGCGAAACACAAAAGTATTTGTTTTTTGGTATTATTTATTATGGCACTTTTTGTTTGCCATTTAAAATCAATGGTAATTATTTTTGTTGAAAATTGTTTTGTTATAAAAAAATTTTGCGATTATTTTGGCGAATAAATTATTATTTTTTATTATTTAATTTTGCCGATGATATGAATGTCTGGATGACTTATTGGATTTTTGAACCCGAGTATCGTTTATATATTAATACCAATATAATATTATTTGCGATTTTATTTGATATGAAAATGATATGAAAACTAAAAATACATTTAATATATTTGATACCTTTATATGGTTTTTGATATTCAAGGGATGAGTTATGTTTGATATGTTTTTATTACCAGTTTATTATTAATATTTATTATGATCAGCAAAAAAAAATTATATAACGATTTTTTGATCCCAAAATGAGTTTAAGATTTTATATTTCTGGGAAAATTATATTTTCATTATAAGTGCAATAAAAAGTTTAGTTTTAATATTTAAATCCTTTTTATAAGGAATTAAATGTTAAGTGTTTACAAAACTTTTACATTTAAGTTCATTTTCACAGAATATTCTGTAATATTTATGGTAGTATTTACTGTAAATGGTGTTTACTATATTAGCAAGCATATATAATATTTGTAAATTTTTTAATACGCAAAACACGTCCAAATATATTAATGCATTTTTATTATTTTGACACATACTATGGCGACAATGATAAAATATATTATTTATGGTATTAAAAAAGACGACATAGATTATTTGCTGTAATTTTTCTCACTTATATAAATGGTGCTGATAATATATCCAAAAATTGTATTTCGTATAAACATGAATCTATAAGGTTTCTAGAAAAACTTGTATGATTTTACTGAATCGATTAGTCTGGTTATGCAATAGACATACCGGTGCACTTTGATAATATATACATGTTCATAACTTAGCATTTTTGGCCCTGATGTTTTAGTGGAAATGTTTTTTAAATTCTGTTATTTATGAGCTTGTTGGTTTATGATCTATTTAATTAACTATAAGCCTTTGAATCTATCGGCAAATTATAAAAGGTTTTAGTTATACAAAAGTGATTTTAAAATACCAGGAACCTTTTGAATTAATTTACACTTGGCACTCTAAACCATAGAGTAATACTAATAATGTAAGGCACTTGCAAACTACACTAACATAATGCATACTTTGTTATATAATAATCGTAAATATCAAAGTTAAATCAATTTTTGACATTTACTTTGGACATAAAAATAGATAAATAATACCCCCGTTGTGTAATACAAACGGGGCAGGTGTGCGTGTGGGCACAGTAGTTTTAGTAGACTATACCTTGAGTATTGTACTTATTACTTAACACTTTGACTGCTTATATGAATTAAATTTTTATTAGTGGACTTTTTTATTTATAGCCTTTGTGTATATCGGAAAAATTGCTTGAAATATACCTTGTACCCTTTGAAGTTCTATGTTAATCCTGTGTGGTAAATTGTTTAAAATGAGTTTTACTTATAAAATAATAAGTGTATAAAAATCTAATCTTTATGAGTTTGTTTATTAAAATAACACAACAGTTTGACTGACAAATATATAATAATTACCGCATATTGTGTAGCACAGGGCTAAGTCTTAGGGTCGGGTATGTGCTAAACAACCTAAGTTTTGTGAAGGTATTAAATATTGTGCAAAAATTATTGTCCACCTATAATACCACACATACATAATATTTTGTCTATTTTTGCTATAAACTTAACTTGCTGTTTTTTATACTGACTCCACAATTTAATCAAAGTCTAAAATATTTTGAAACTAATTTATTTTATCGCTATATTTGTTTGTATTAAATTTCTCGTATCCACACACTATTTATAACCATGGTACACTGTATGTACACGCAATTATATAGCTTGCTAAAGTGTAGTGTACAGTAGTATATGTTGCACATAGCTAATACCCTAATGGACTGTTAATAGTGTATTAATTGATTGATTATATGTACACACAGTAGTGGCTAATGTTGAATAATATTATTACTTTATGTATATACTTTATATATCCTATGGAGGGTTATTAATGTAGTTCCCATATAAATTATATACGTCTGGCAAAGTGTCTGGTTGATCGCCAGCGCTACCACTACTGGTGTTTTGTAATAATGTATTGTATATTATGTCATGTAATTGACAGCACAATAGGTATCGCTTTTTGCATTAATGAGTGGTTTTTATATTATTTTGTAAATTGATATTCAAATGTGAATTATGTGTAAGTCGTGAGCGACATAAAATCTGGTGATTATTATGGCTGTGAGGGAGTAGAGAGAGAGAGAGAGAGAGAGAGAGAGAGCTATATAATTACAGTGTTAGACCAAGTGATCGATAAATTGGATGATAAATAAAATATGCAATAATTGTTAAAAACAAAAACAAAAATCACATGAATATTATGTTCACGTATTAATATCCACTCATAAAACGCTATAATTTTCTCATTTATTGAATTAAAAATATTAATATTACAAAAACATATTTGCAATGAGATTAACCAGTTATGTGGGGAGACCAGGGGTTGGGATATATACATGCTATTTGTAACTGTAATATTGCTTAACATGAGTAATATAAAAAAAATTTATATTGATATGAAACCTAATTTATGAAGTATACAAGAATTTCTCACAGAATTCCCATATAAACCCCATACTAAAAGTTTTAATGGTCACCCCCTACCATAAATAGCTATTAAATACCCTCGCACACACACACATATGGTTTACATTTAAAGTCTTATTTATTATACAACACGAAATATTTATGCATAAGTAATATAATTCTTGCAATTTTTTCATGCCATTTTACGAGCAAATATTTTGTGTGAGGGTATTTTTGTTTAAGCATTTTGTTTATTATCTCTTATATAAACTAATGGCTCGTATTTTTGAGGCAAAATAATTTGATTTTGTCGTAAACTTTTTTGCCAAAAACCAATACTTTATAAATAAAATATTCACAAGATTTCTGTGTTTATCTCTCTCTCTCTCTCTCACTCTCGTGTCTTATACATATCTAGTGTACCCGATATTATACCTAATGTTATGTCTTAAGAGTTGATAATAAATTATTTAACGAAATAAAAGGCATGTTTGAATTATAAATGGCTTTTGTATTTAGGTGTATCGGTATACGCCATGTAATGCACTTTTACATCCATAACCCATACGTGAACTTTTGCACTAAAAAACACTGTCTCTCTCACTGTATGCCAAAAGTCATTAATTAATAATTTTAATATTAATTTATTGCTTAATTAATGTCCATTAATTATGTATTGCCCATTCATTAATCGCTATCACTATTTAACAGTTGATTAAAAAAGTAATTAAAAAACTATTTTACAGCGAAAAATATTTATTACTTTTTTCTTAATTATGAAAGTATTTTATAATTTTATGCTAAATAATGTGTATTATTAATTTTTATGATTGTTAATCATATAGTGTAACTAAATTGATTTATAACGAGTGTCTCTCATTGTGTATATATAAGCTAGGTGTTTACACATTATTATATAGTGAATTAATATTTAGTACTTTTTTATATACAATATATATATATATATACGGATCTCGTGTTTGATTTGATACACTGTTATGAAAGCGAAAAACTAATCTATTATTACGTTAAGTAAATATTTTGCAATCAAAATGTTATGGAGTTTTGGAGTTGAAAATGATTTTTAATATTGAGTTTTAAGTCAATATTTTGTCAATTTATACGCAAGAGAGAGAGAGAGAGAGAGCACCGGGATGTTGAACACATAATGGTTGAGCTGACACACACTTAGAAACAGCTATAAAAACACCACTACTTGTATAACACACACACACACACAGAATATTCTGTATATCACGTGAACATAACACTCAACATATACACCACACACACAAAGCACATTACAAAACACATTAGAAAACCCCTATAACTAATCCCTGTATCATCTCACGCATAACCTACAGGTGCCCATACCTACACCGGACAGCGGGGGACACGGAGCGCCGGTATCACCTGCGCTACTACAAGACCGGTATATGCGTGTACGACACGGACACCCGGGGCTACTGCGTGAAGAATGGGCCGCACTGTGCGTTCGCGCACGGCCTACACGACCTCCGGAACCCCGTCTACGACATCCGGGAGCTACAGGCCATGGAGTCGGGCGGCGGCGGTGTAGGAGGCCTACTGTCGCCCACGGACCTCGAGAACGGGTTGGGAGGGTTGGGTCAGATTAACTCGAATTCGGTGCCCAATTCGCTGGATAAGGAACGGAATGCCCTCAATGAGGACCCCCGTTGGCAGGACACCGCCTACGTGCTGGCTAACTATAAGACCGAAGTGTGCAAACGCCCGCCCCGGCTATGTCGACAGGGGTCAGTATGATTTTTGTGTGCACTACCAGTCCCTTATAAAGTATTTGTTATTTGTATTAAGATTTTGGTGGTAGTTCCGATAATTTCATAGTTTATTATGTGTTTAGCTATTAGTTAGTGTTTTACATCCCTGTCCACTNTGATCATAAAAATAAAAGTAATCAACAATAAAAAATAACCTAATGAATAAATTACTATGCAAAAACATAATAATTAAGTTTTATTTTTTAATAGCATTCATCAAAAAACATTTATATTTCGCAGAATATTCTTTAGCAATGAATTATTCATATGTTTTGTTTGACTGGTAGGTAGGAATGGCAGCAAAAATAGGGGTGAGTTTTGTAATAAATGGTAAATACTTATCCTATTTATGAGATATTATTTTTGGAAAACTTTTTAGTTTTTAAAACTCGTAATAATTTTCCTAATTTTCATGCAATCAGGATACTTTTACAAATAAAAAATACACTATTTTCTTGTAGACGTGTTGAACAATAATTTTAATGAGATTTAAATTGAAGTACTTTTATATATTTAGTGAACACACAATCAGACATCCAGTTAAATTATATATATCCAAGTCATATTAACCGTATAAAGTTATATCAAATAATCAAATAGAGAGAATAAATTCATAAATAAATAATTATCCAAAAAAGGTTTATAAATATATAATAATATGAAATGATATCTCACAAGTATATTGCTCATAAATTTATAATAAGTAGCTAGTATAGAATAGTCATAATTAAATAAATAACTTCAAACAATATATTAATACTGGCAGTAAAACTCCAGAATATTCTTAACTACAAAAAAAAACTCTTAATAATAATTAAATTAAATATAACACCAAAAAAAACTACAGAATATTCTTCACACAAATCCCACACAAAATCCACAGAATATTCTCATCGACTCACTCATAGATCGAAATCAAAAATCAGTGGAAATCTATGCAAATCTAAGGGACTATGAGCTCCCGGCACCGGCACCAGCACCAGCACGGGCTCCGGGGGTCCGATAGGCTTACCATTGGTCTCGACGTGGGCGAAGGCGCAAAAGGGCCCCCGGGGGCAGTACCCCGTCTGTTGGATGTCATTGCATTTGGTCGACTTGTAGATCTCCGGGTGAAACTGTTGTTCCGTACGGGTGTGACAGTAGGGACAACCGTCCTGGGACTCGCAGTTGGTCGGGTCGCCCCACTCGTCGCCCTGTTTCACGTTCGGACAGGGAGTGGACCGGTATTTGTATTTCTTGGGCGACCGGCGCCGGTCTTTGTTGTTGTGGAACTGGGGACAGGCGTACCTGCGAGTGGACAGGGATTATAAAAACATTAGAAATGTGTTATGAAATTAATTATCAGTGCAAAGGGGGAACGGGATGTTAAGGATTAAAGGGCTAAAATAGTTTTAGTGCTATTTATGAGGTATATACTCATTGGTATAGGAATGAGGGGGAATGGTATGCAAATAGATATCTATTGAATAACATTACAGGATATTACTCGCTATACAAACTATAGTGGACAGGGATGTAAAACACTAACCAATAGCTAAACACATAATAAACTATGAAATTATCGGAACTACCACCAAAATCTTAATACAAATAACAAATACTTTACAAGGGGCTGGTAGTGCACACAAAAATCATACTGACCCCTGTCGACATAGCCGGGGCGGGCGTTTGCACACTTCGGTCTTATAGTTAGCCAGCACGTAGGCGGTGTCCTGCCAACGGGGGTCCTCATTGAGGGC